AGAGAACAACAAATGATGGCCAACGATGGGGGTGTATTTTCACGAGCTGAAATTCGTCAATAGGAAAGAGAAAGAGGTTTAATTTTCTGGCAGCTGCGGATCTACTCTTATCTCTTTTTCCCCCCCTTTTTTTTGTCATTTGTTGCACATTTCTTTCTATCACATGAGCGTACATGGGCCAGTGCTGTTTGTTTATGTCTGAGGGTGTATTTACGTGCCCCACATTACCATACCTATTTATAGGCCCACACACTTTCTTACAGTCACCTTTTCTTGCTGTTGTGACCATTTGACAGATTATATATTGTCCAAGTAATTTCGCTTTCAGCATCTGTGTTTTTTACCTTTCAGAGAAAGCCGTGAATGGAGGGAAAATTATCACAATTACTCATATAATTGAGCCGTCTTTGTAGCAAGTGCAGCTTCAGTAGACCCTTTTTTTCCATCAGCCAAAATGGTTTCATTATATGGGCTTTTCATATTCCCTGACACAGGGCTCCGCTGAGGGCCCGGCGCGTGGATGAGATGCAGGATGAACAGAGCGAATCATTAAGGTCACAGTAGGAATAATTATCCCAGCTATGGAAAGAGCATCTACAGCCCCCTTTTTTTTTCTCCGCCCGGCACAAATTCAACGTCCGCGGCTTTTAGTCACAAAGAACTTTGTTGCAAATGGAGCTTCCACCTTCTACTTATACAAAGGAGAGAGGGGGAGAGCAAGACTTGTATCAACATGACAATTTTCCATCATTAAGACTAATGACAGGCACAGACTGTGGGGATCAAGGGGAGCACAATAAAGAGAGGCGCTTTCAGGTGTTGGCTGAGTGCTGACCTCCTTCCTGTCTTTGTTGGAGACTTAACTCTTAACAAAAACTAAAAAGGGGATTCAGGAGTGAAGGCGCTGTGTGGCAGCTGAACGTCAAGCCGTCCAGCTCTCCAAATTAGCATGTTTTTGCATTTGCAGGGAAATTAGTTTGATTAAGCCTGAATGTAAAGAGGCTTAACGAGTCATTGTTTCACAGCGGCTGAATTTCTTTTTCTTTTCACACAAATTCACTTCTGTGATATGTTAAGGAAATCCCAGTGACCATAAAGCTACTCTTTTTTTATTCCTTTAAATTATGCTGCCATTTGAAACAGTCAATATTCATTAAAGATGTAGTGTGCAGCACAGTGCATGCAGTAAGTAATGTACATGTTGTTGGATATCTGACCTAGTTTTTCTGTCCAAACATGTTGATAATAAATATATGGGAGTGCCCACTTATCATTAAAACACAGCAGTAATTATGTTTTCTCAACTGTTTGCTAATCAAACATGGCAGCCTCTTCAGTGAAGTTCTGCACCAAGTGTAAATGAAAAATAACAAGGTAGACTTTCCAGTGAGTGTACAGTTATTTATATCTTTAATTCATAAAAAAATTGAGCTGTAAAGAAGTTGATTGGCCTATGGCAGCATGTACTAGGTTCTTACGTTCCTTAGTTCTTGTATTTGTAAACACAACCCAGTCGCAACGAAGCAAAACCCAACCAGGGACCTACTCAAAATATCATTACAAGTGCTTTGCAACATGGCCCAGTTCTACAGTGCATGTTTGATTCAACATAGAGCAGACGTCCTACATCTACAGGGAAGTGGGATCCAGCCCCAAGTTGTTCTGATGAAATATTTATTTAGAAAAAAAAAACAAGTTGTGTTTGTTGATGTCTATTCAGTCCAGGTCATTTGATTAGATCTGTTATTTGTAGACAGTCTTAATCTGCAGCTAGGAAAAAAAAAAAGATTATGAGAGAAAACTGTCTCGTCGATCTTCTCCGCCCACCAGCCTTTCTCAAATTAGGAGATCATTATTAAATTCTGATCTTCTTTCAAACTGATCCTCTGCTCATTTTTACACCGTCATGACTTAACAGATGAAGCCTCAATGTGACAGTAGTTTCTTTTACAGTTAGGTGGAATTAAGTAAAAGCCGTATTTTTCCTTTCTCCACAGCCTTCACTCAGGTAATTGGTCATTTTGCAGCCAATTTCAGACAGGTTGGATGCCCGCTGCTGTGCTCTGACCCCTCCCGCTGCAGTAATGGCCGCTTTTCTACCAGTTCACTGGAGGTTTTTTCCACACTGTGACCCGAGCTTTCTATGATGGAGAGAGGGAAAGCAGCTCTGAGAATGAGAGAAAAGAACTGAAATAAGACTTCTGA